GAAAGTAACATAACTAAGTGAAGAGTGGTTAATGGCAAGGCTAAATGGTCTGACTCACCCACAGTGATGACCAGACCCAGCTCTGCATCCTCCTCTGACTGCAGTGGGGATGAAATTGGAGTGGAGGACTGGACACTGCTACTGTCATCTTCACCATGGCCTACACACACAGGAAATAACCAGATATCAAGTTCTGCTCTAAACTTCACTCAAGTAATACTGCTTGTTTCCACACTACCTGCACTGTAGTTCTTCTCATGGCAATTGGACTGATGAACATTTCTGTCTGGAGACAGTGTCTGGATTGAGGTCCAGCTCTTGTTCTTAGTGGGGGTAGAGACCTTTCTTCTCCAGGAACTAGGAGACCGTTTGAGAGAGAAAGGAGATCTGCTGACAGATCCTCTCTTAGGTGCTTTGGCAGGATTCGGTTGTGGTTCTGGAGAAGAAGACTTGCGTTTCCACCCCATGTTCAATCTGTCTCTGAGCCTGAAAAGACAGTTAAAGAAAACCTAGTGAAACAAACTAATGTCTTGCAACTAAGTTAATCCTCAAAAGTATGTATTCAAGAAATTATGAAATAAATAAAACAAAATTAATTAAGAGTCAGATAAACAAAACTAACAGTACAACAGTCTTTCTGGTTATGTCTCAAAACCCAGCCTAAACAGTTCACTAGTATGGAACAGAGCCAATTAATAAAAGCAATAAATTATAAATACAGCAGTGTTTTGTTTATATTCAGTAAATGTTTTTCTGATATACCAGAACAATATAAGCAGTACAATATATATGTATTTTATTTCTAATTCATTGTTAACCAAGCATAGAGAGATGGAGATCACAAACAGTGAATTTGTATGTTTCTTCAGATGTTAGCTTATTGGCTAACTGAAGTTAGCATTGCGCCCCTAAATAATACATACCACTTGGAAACGGTTTATATTTGTGACACGGAAGGATGTTATTTGCTGTGTTCACATTTTATCATGTAAAATATCCTCTTACCCACGAACAAGTGTTTGCAGCCATCGGTAGCTTTCTAATACACATTAGCCCGCCGCTTCACAACAAACGGCGGGTGTTGCGGTCATTTCCTTCCCTCACAAACACAGGCGATGACAAACCGTTCCCACACCTCAGTAGCGGTGCACAATACAACGACAATATTTCAATAGTATACGTTAGTAGTTTTAATAATGTAAAAAGCGTTTTGCGAGAAAAAAATCGCTACAAATATGGCGCTTTGACGGCGGCCAAAACAATTTTTTTCCCGAGGGAAAAAATAAGCTTCTCAAAATGACAATAATGAACGTTTATATTTTTATTATCTGTAACATCTGATATGCTTGCTTATATTTTATTCTAGGCACAATTATATATTATTATGACTCCATGTGGACCACACCTGCTGTCAGACTGAGTCTATTCTTTTTTTTTTTTTTTTTTTTTTTTTTTTTTTTGTTTCCAAAGTCACTGTCATTCTGTTACACTGTGGAAGCTTCTGTCACGAAAACAAATTCCTCGTATG